TCATTCTAAATGTGTAAATATTTACCATGTCTATATGGTAATTGGAATTTTAGCAAATTAAAGCTGGAACACTTTGAAACCACTCAATTTAACTGTGTCATACAAGTCACGTGTTCCTTGCTTTCTCTTGTTTTGGTTCTTTCACTAGTTTTCAAATACATCACATATTACTGTTACATCTTTGGATCCGCTTATTTCAGAGATTACAAAGTCGATCTCAAACTATGTAAAAAGCCAACGTGTCTAAGTGTGTTTAGTAATGATTTAGTGACTCAGTCGGAAGTGTAAAGGAGATCATTCCAGAGCTTTGGGCCAAGAACACCAAAAGCACAGTTCCCTCTCGCCTTCTTCCTTCTTATTGGGACGACATCTAAGGACTGATCAGCCGACCTGAGAGAGCGTGCAGTACAGTGTCAGGAGGTCGAAGAGATAACGAGGGAAGAATAAGATCATTTAAAAATCAATGTGGAACGACACTGTAAGCCAGTGCAGAGACTTGAAAACTGGGGAAATGTGTTCATTTTTTTAAGTGCCTTAAATGTGTAGCTGGGAACGTTTTTCCAATAACATGCGGTCGACAGCATGCTCTGGTCTGATTTGTACACAAAGGTTATTTAATGATGTGCTGGATGTATTTATCTGACACTAAAAGGACCCTTTAATTCAGAATACTTTCTTATAAGAGAGTGAAACTGGTTCATCTGCTGGTCTGTTGTCTTCAAGGTCAATTATAAATACTTTTGTACTACTTAGCCTATTTGACTTACTGCAGTTAGATTTTTCACTTGCACTGGATATTGGAGTAATTACTGGGAAAGCAAATTCATTTTTGAGCCTGATCTGTAAGTGAACAATGGAACAAGCTTCTATGTGACCAGTGCTGGAAGAATTCAATGGTATTGCATTGTTGATTTATAGATATTCCGTCTTAACTACACAAAGGTTTGAGTGCAGACAACCTTTCATAGAAGGCCTGCTCAATTATCAATACAATAGAAAACTGAATTCTGCCTTGTGTGGAGTGGGGTGTATTCACAACAGTAGCAGGTCAACTTTTTATTTGTATGTGCTGCACAAAGCAACTCGCCATTTTCCAAACACTGTAGAAAACAATACTTTTATCTTGAAACCTTTGTGGCTGACCTTTTTCAGGTGAGAAGTAATGTGTTTTCCACCAAGCCACAGACTGACCAACGCACCAATGTGCACTATATATCGAACCACAACCACCCAGTGCCCATATTCTGCCATTATAATTCATTATCACAGTAGTTTATAACTGTATTTGAACCTTGAATGTGTTTTGAACTCTGTGATTATGATGAAAGAAAGTTTTTTTGTTGAATGGGGTACAGAGTGTGGTAGAAATCTCAGAGAAATTACTTCATGAGTCATTTATTTTATGATGCTGCTGTTTCCATTCATTGCATGAAAAGAGTGAGTGAATACTACATTAAAAACTGACATCCACAGAATTTTAAGTAGGTCCAAAGAATGGGATTTATTCAAACATTGACTGCAGCCTTAAGATTGTGTCTCTATAGATGTATGTATATTTTATTGTAAGTTGATTACAGCCAAAGTATATAATCATAGCATTAATATTGACTAATAATGTAGTAAATGAGTCCATCAAAAAGCCTGACAGCTCCACTGATCGGCTGGCAGCTCATGGGTGTGACCACACAGCACACATAGCCAAAGTTTGTGTATTTTTCTCCTTTCTCGTTTGTTTGATTTTGCACGCTTCTCAAACATCCAACTCCGCAGACATACAGTTGGTGCCGATGACTCATGCATTGACACAGGAATTTACTGTCAATTTATTTAAGAGGTTTAGAAATATCAGCGACGACAGGTGCCATCCAACACGACTCAGCTCCTCACACAGAGAAAGGGGATCAGGCGTCTCAAGCAGGGGCACATTTGCATTAGTCTCTTAAAAGTCCTGTCTGGCTCCAAGTGAGAGGACGTTTCAACACTGCCACCTGCTGCACACTGGAATATACAATGACCAAACTTTCATTTTGATATATTCACATTTTTTATTTATTTTTTAACCAAACGCATAATTTGAAGATGTATCCAGAACAAGCGCACGGGGAATTATTTAAAGTCCCCAAATCAAAAGGACCCAGGGCAAATCAACACCATTCTACACAAAGGCCACTGAACTATGTGAAGAATTATTCAAAAAGCTTTTGTCTGTATGATTGTAAATAAAAAAGAATGATATAGTGATCCGGTTTGATATAGTATTCATCAATTCATCAGGGAATGATTTTGAAAAAAAAATTGTTTGCATCATGATATATACTTAACTATTCTTGTTTGATTGATTTTAAACATTCAAATACATTTTTTATTCATACTCCATCCATCCATCCATTGTCTTCCGCTTCATCCGTTGCCGGGTCGCGGGGGCAGCAGTCTAAGCAGAGACGCCCAGACTTCCCTATCCACACACACCTCCTCCAGCTCGTCCGTGGGGACCCCAAGGCGTTCCCAGGCCAGCTGAGAAACTTAGTCCCTCCAGCATGTCCTGGGTCTTCCCCGGGGCCTCCTCCCTGTAGGAACGTGCCCTGCAAAGGCTTTTTACTCCAAGTATGCAAGTTGCTGATCAGGAAAAAAAAGATAATTAATTGTTGACTGTGGTATACCCGCTTTTAGATAAAAACTGTACATTGTGCGTTAATTAAGCCATTATTTTACAAACATCCATGTCTACAGAGGACTACAGAGGTCTTCTGATTTGTGAACCAACCATATGTCTATTTGAGACAGAAAGCAGATGGAATATTTCCAATTATAATAATTGGAAGTAAACAGTATGATTATTCATAATTTTTTTTTTTTTTTTTTTTTTAATTATTGTTTTGAATAATTAGTGATGTAAAATAAAAACAAACCAGAATGAAATTCAGACAAAATAACACTTTTCAAACTCCCACATTGAATACAACTAAGGCCACCTTCAGGAATTAAAGACAAGTCTGGAGGAAAACAAACTGCTCTGAGGCTCAGCCTGGTCCAAAACCAGGAAAATATAGGACAACACTATTAATAATTTGTTATAGCGCATCTTTTGGTGGTGGCCCTTCTCTGAAATCTTCAATGGAAAGAGTCCAGAGAGAATTGATTTTACAACATTAAATGAAGAATAATGAATCTTTGTCTTTTTTTTTCAGTGGAGAGACACAACATTATAGCTATTGGTATTTAGATTCAATAATGATTCAAGAAAATGTTGAGACTCCTGAACTTTTGCAAAAGAATAATATTCTCTTAAATAAATTAATGAAAGGAGCACAAATTATTGCAAATTGTTGCAATTTAAAAAACAGATAGTTGTTAACATTTACATAAAGCTCACCATGTTCAGTCTTGTTCTGTCGTACATATTTCAGCCTTGATTTTAAAAATATCACCATAAAGTTTTCAATGACACGTACTGAGTTGCCAAGTGAGTGCAGATAAGAGGCTGCGGTTGCCAGGAAACCATTTCATCTTGTGTCCTCTGAATAGACCCTCAAGAAGCGATGTCAACAGATAGGATCCGAATTCTGAAGGAAACTGGAGACAAAATTAAGTAGACCACATCTAAATATTGGTATATTGGTATATTGATTAAAATAAATCAATAATTCCTTTCCATAAAGAATATGAAAAAAGCTAATAAATCTTAGTGTCCCTTAAAAAGTTGCCTATAAGTTGAAATTAAGAATTATAATATGCACTTCATTAATGTGGCCATACTTGTGAGCGAAAGCCAAATTCCATCAGACCTGCAATGCTGTGCAAGGCAGGTTCTGGTCAGTGTTTTGATGGGAGACCTCTGAGAACACAATGCCATACTGTCGTTTAGGCAAGACATTTTACCCACATTGCTCAGAGTGAGTCTGGTGAGTGTAAATGGCCAAAGGCATTTACTGGTTGCCTCGCTTCTGTCAGTGTGCCCCAGGGCAGCTGTGGCTACAGTAATAGTTTATCACCACTGTGTATGGAGCAAATGAATAATGACATGTGAAGCGTCTTTGAGTGTCCTGAAAAGTTCTACATAAAACCATTGCATTATTATTAATATATGAAAGTAAATAAGTTGAATAAAGTGAGTATGAGTTAGTTATTTGAACTAACTCTTCAAATAATCTAAAATAAAGATGTTGTTGCAATTACTATTGATAGTAATTAGTGATATCTAGTGATACTAGTGATACTAGTGATATCTTGATGCTTAACCCTAACTCTAAGGTCCTGCTTCTTGTTAGGGTCTACATGTGCAGAGATCATGATACAGATGTATTTTGTTTGAGAGAGTATTTATGAGCATTTATGTGCACACTGGTATACAGAAGTGTAGGTCTATTGTGTACTTGAGATTTAAAGAGGTGTATCACAATGGATGTCTGAACATCTGTTTTTTCTAAAACAGTTGAATTAATTAACTGAATGAATTAAAACACCGTTAGATTTGACAAATGTATATTGTACGTAAATACTCACTACCAATGTCCCCTCAGGGTGGCCAAACAAAGACAAAATTTAAAAGATATAAATGAAAGAAATAAATAGGAAAGAATATCAAATACATGTTTTCACTATTTAAGCTTGTTTAAAAAGAAATGAAAAGTAAATAATTGAATCACTAAAACCCAAAACTACATTTTTTTAATAAACTAATGATGACGTATATTTCAAGCGACCAGAGGAGGGCGGTGAAAAAGAACAACAACTCTTTTTCACTCAAGTAGAGTTAAAAAAAAATTCTATACCTGCAATGTGAAGTCCTTACATAGACATAGGGATTGCAAAGTGTCTACGGGTATGATGTGCGTCTTTAAAGCAGATGTCTGGTCTTTATGTCCGTCCTAGATTAAGCAAAAACGTGACGAAATGGGCTAAGCTAGCTTGTTAGCAAACTCTCCGTCTTGTGCTTTCACGCTTTCTTTTTCCTCCATATCGTTTTATATGAATTGTAGCATCTTGAATCTCCTCTAACTATGGCGAGTGTGCATGAGAGTCTGTATTTCAATCCGATGATGACAAACGGAGTGGTGCACGCTAATGTGTTTGGGATCAAAGACTGGGTAACTCCGTATAAAATCTCAGTCCTGGCGCTTCTTTATGAGATGACAGCCAAAGTCAGTCTGCCCAAGAGGAGGCGACTGAACGAGCTCATCTTACCGCTGCTGCAGGTATGTTTTTATAGTAGCGAGTGCTTTATCCAGGATTTTCCTATTAGTATGTAAATGCATATTTCATGCCCCTCTGTTAGGGTCCCGACTTGTCTTTTGGACAGTTAGTGCGGACAGTGGAGGAGTACTGCCCACAGACTGCATCTTCTGTTGTGCTCAGGTGTGTATCATGGATACAGTCCACTTGTTATGAGTCTACTATCACTACTATTTACTATGCTTAGTAAATACTTTCATTGTGTATTTTGAATGCAGGGGATTTTCCTTTGAATTATAGCTGTAAGTAGTGATTAATTCGATTGGCATGCAATTACTCTTTACATTGATTAATCGCAAAAGGCTAGTAAATATAAGATCTTGTATAACAAACTTAATTAAAACCGGGTGACAGCCACTCGACAACATCTTCATAGAGACGAGTTTATACAAACTTGGATTCTTGAATACAAGTATTTTACTATCACCATTTAATTTGATTTTAATTACAGCTATGAGGCCTGTGTTTTGTTTGTTTGTTTTTTTTACACACAAAAAACAATTAGTAAATTACCAAATTAATTGATCACTATTTCAGCTCATTGTTAGTAATATTTGATGTTGTTTCTGGTTTTTAGGCTTCATGATATGGCTGATGGAGAGTTGAGGGACATGGAGCAGTTTTTTTCTACTCTTCCATTCACGGCATTTGACACTGAGGCCTATAAAACTAGTGTTGTCGGTAAGTGGAGACCAGACCATCACACCTTATAAACCCATTACTTGTTTAATTTACGCAAGACATTTACACAACTCTATGAAATCCTTGTCTAAAATTGACCCGCTGCAGTGATGAAAAAAATACCCTAAGAAATGTTTTTCAAGCTGAATTATTACCATAATTTAGGGTATTTTTCTGCCACATTTGTGGTGGGTCATTTTGACTTGAGGATAGCACAAGGGTTAAACATAATTTTTGCATGCAACTTAATTTGATACAGAGGCGCAAAAACTAATTTTAAATACAATAGGTTTTAATTCTCATTCACTAATTATTATTTCTAAGATATCTGATATGCAACAAGAAACAAATGTCTTTGTGGATTTTCTGTAACAGGACTTTTCATGCGACACATGCTCCTGGCCTACAACAAGCTGTCATTCAGTCAGGTGTACAAGTTGTACAAGTCTCTGCAGCAGTACTACCACAGTCACTATGCCAAACCTCTTTCTACTTTGAACTTCGATGGATCAGACATGGACCTGACGAGCACAGAGGACACTGTAGGAGACCGAATGGACAAAGATGAGCTGGACACCCCTCTGCACGAGTCAGAACTCAGGTTTTTGACACTTTCATTGTTTTTTTTAGAACTAAAGTTATTTTAATTTTTTAAACACAAATGCATTAATGCACATACATTTCACATGTTTTTTCACTCATATGAATAAACTGGTCAGAACTTTATGTCCAGCACAAATTCCCTAAAGAATTACTTGTTTCAAATTCCTGAATCCGGATGATCCGGAGCAGTGAGCAGTTTGTTTAGCAGGTACTTTTCAGCTGTTGCTCAGTTGAAGACTCCACCTGATATTACTCCCAGTACTGCAGTTTAAATATTTTATATCTTGTGCTGTTTGCTCCTCATTCCTACTTTTCTGTAACATGTGATGGATGCAACACTGAAATTTCCCCACTGTGGGACGAAGAAAGGATCTCTTAATCCTAATTCCGATGAATATCCTGTTTTAGAATCATCTTCAAAGCATCAAACACCTCTTTCCAGAACAGATCTAACTCAGACAATACCCAAAATATGTTTATATGATGAGCACAAATGCCACTGACATTTTTCCAGCATGACACGGGATTACATTTTTTTCCCAACATGACACGGGATTTTAGAACCCATCTTCAAGTGAAGTAACGTTCTGAAAAACATGGTTATCACTTTCCATTAGAACTCTTGTGTGTGTTTTGACTTTTGAGACTTGTGAGATGAGTGACACTTTTATGACATTTAAAATGAAGTTGCAACGATGAAATTAAAAAAATACCCACATTGATATGATCGTCCAAGTACATTCTTATACATATATATACTTAAAAAGCTTGTGTGGCCAAATGGATATATTTAGTCCAAACATTGAAGCCTTGCCCTCTTAACGACTAACATTTTATTTTTCCCTATTTAATTATTTTGCACTTTGCTTAATTAATGAAAACCAATACCATTTTGTTTTTCTTTTCTTCAGAAGTGACAATGCTCCAAGTAAAGGTCCTCTGTCACAAAAACAAGCGGAGTACTTCCTGGCAAGACAAGTGAGTGAGAAAACTGTTTAAAAAGGAATGTCCTAACTCTATAAATTCATAAATGATTCATTTCATTCAAATGATTCTGCTTTTATATCCGTTCATTTTGACAGCCACCCACAACAACTGTCAAGGTTGTGCTATATTTACCAGTAAATCTTTTTCCTCAGGCGTACCTTCTGAAGAACGATGAGAACAAAGCTCTGAAACCTGCTGCCCTCCAAGAGGAACTCAACAACATGCTCAAGTTTAACCCAGACTTTGCTGAAGCAGTGAGTTTCTCCCACGCTCTAAGTGCCGTTAAACATTATTTGTTGTTATTTCTTTCTTCTGTTATTTTCTTTTGTTATTCAGCATTACCTGAACTACCTGAACAGTATGAGGGTGCAGGACATATTTCTTTCTGCTCACAGCCTCTTGCACTATTTTGATCGACTAATTTTGTCCGGAAATGAGGGGAAAAGCAACGGTGATGAGGGCTATGGCCGAAGCCTACGTTACGCTGCCCTGAACCTGGCAAGCCTGCACTGCCGCTTCGGACACTAGTGAATACTTTGTTCTCATTTAGAATTGACCAATAACATATTTGTTTAAAACAATATTACATCCTCAGCTATTTTTCCATCCCTTTTTCCCTCAGTCAGCAGGCTGATCTAGCTCTTCAAGAGGCAATCCGTATTGCTCAGGAGTCCAACGATCACGTGTGCTTGCAACACTGCTTGGTAATTCATCACTATTGTCACTATTATTTGTATCCAAATCCAAATGTAACTTTTCCTTTCTTGGTTCTGCTCCTGTTCTCTCCATGTGCTCTCTGCTAGAGTTGGCTGTATACTCTGGAGCAGATGAAGGGATCTGACAGCACAGTGTTGACAGAGGATTCAGTCAAAATGGCTGCCCATTTCTGCCTGAGAGTAAGCCTGCCTAAAGCCGTTTGAATAGACGTGCTTCACCATAATTTATGCATATGCAAGCAATATGAACTATTACTGTATGTTATGTAAACCTTGAACTTTGCTTGATAATGAATCTTATTTGCTTTAGTACTTGGCATCCCTGGGCATTCAGTCTTTGGTCCAGCAGGGGGCAACACAGGGTAAGACGGCGCACAAACTGATGGATGCACTGAAGGACACAGACATCCTGCACTGGAAGCACAGTCTCTCTGAGCTCATCGAGATCAGCTTGGCTCAGACCACTTCCATCTGGAGGATGTACGGCAAGAGGTCAGGCCACATACTCTTGTCCAAACACCACGCTGTCAAAACTCTTCTCTAGCCGTCATTTGCAAACAAAAGTGGCTGTATGCTGAATCAGTGTATCCCCGATTTTGTGATGTATTGCAGCACCATGTCAGCACAGCAGGCACAGCTCCTCCTCAACATGAGCAGTCTGGAGCCGGTCAACTTTGGGGTCCATCAAAACAATACGGAGGCCTTCGCAGTGGCTCTGTGCCACCTGGCCGAGCTGCATGCTGAGCAGGTTACACATCTCATTTGATTGCATCTCTCTGCTTTCCGTCTTGTAGTTGCATATCCATTAGTCAATTGGCCAAGCAATGCAGGAAAGTAATAAGCATTGATCAGGGCTGCTTCTGGGCAGAGCTTGATGTATCACTCTTGTTCCCATGTGCCTGTTTTAGGGCTTGTACAGTGCTGTTTCAGAGATTCATCAGCATCTAAAGACACAGTTTCCTCCACACACGCAGCATGCCAAGGTTCGTTCAAACACATTTATAGTCACTGATATGCATAAACTGATTACGCTTTTTTTCATTATTTTTTGTGATGCAATTCATATGTAACCCTGTATTTGCAGTTGTGGATGTTATGTGATCTAAAAATCCAATTTGATAGACATATGAATGAAGGAAAATACCATTTGGCAGAGCCGCTTATTGTTGCCATGTCGGCTTTAGATAAAACACAAGGTCTATACAGGTGAAACTTCATTCAACGTTGTTTTTCCTTTTAAAGGTTTTTCCTTTTAAGATTATGTGTTATCTTACAGGAAAGCTCTCGTTCTGAAGGCACTTAATCAATCAACTGAGGCGTACAAAGTCCTGCAAAGGCTGCAAGTTCACTGTGACAAGACCAAGTGCACAGAGCTCACCATCAGGTAGCTTTTCTCAAGAAAGTGGGGGCCAGTGGTCCGCTGTGATTGGTCACAATCGGGACCCGAAACAAATTCTCTTCCTTGTTTCACCAAAACTCGATCTCGATAAATCTGTGCTACTTTTTCTTCAAAAGGACGTATATCCCAATGCATTTTGTATTCATTTTTGTAATGAATACAAAAATAAAGTCAGTTAGTGCAGCTGAGGTAAACAAGCGGCGGAGCTAACCTGAGACTTCCCGTGTCTTCGTTACCGGTTACTGCTTACACAGCAAAACAGCCATCCAAAAGAAACTATTGTTCCTCCGCGCTTCCCGGTTCTATTGTTCTATGGTCACGCCATCCACGTTCAAATGTGCGATCCATATTGTGAGACGTGAGCTCCATATACATTGTGGGCCAGTGGTTCGCTGTGATTGGTCACAATCTGGTCCCAAAACAATTTATCTTTCTTGTTGCACAAAAACTCGAGCTAAAATAAAATGACACGCCACCACAAATCTGCGCTACTTTTTCTTTAAAAGGACGTATATCCCAATGCATTGCATGGATATAGATTGAATTTTCATAATGAATACAAAAATAAAGTGAGGTAATGCAGCTTTAAAGCTCCATTTCTTTCAGATATCCTTTTTCCCACAAAATTGCCTCTTTTCAAAATTCAATAAACACTTCTTTGATATGCAACTCAGCCTTCATCAGATTTGCCTGATGGAGGCCTAGTTGCTGAAACTGGTCACATGTGAATAGCTTTTATTATGTAAGTAAGATGGTGTGCAGGATCTGTCATGTTTTATCAATGCTTTTTTAATTAAAATGCACATTTTAAGATTTCAGTTCTCAATGTTTTTCATCCAGCTCAGGTTGACAATGTTGACCAATAATACCATGGTGTGACGATTTGACATGGCTATGGTACATAAAAAAACACATAACAATAAACGTTATGAGGTTGCTCCATGGTTCTCAAATCTGCATATTTATAGACACGGTAAATTTAAAACACCAGCCACTGACTAGAAATATATACAATAAGATAGAACTACATGAAAGACCTCAGACTTCCAATTCATTTCATGTATTCCCATCGAGGTTTCATGGATTTCATTACAACATAAAAAAAAAAATCACAAGTGATAACCATTAGAAACAATATTCCTATGGTCTTGTGTCACGGTATCTCTGCAAACATCATTCCATACCATGCATAATATGGCTTGTTGTGCAACTGTTCTGAGACTTCTGAGGCACATTGTCTCATTCTGCAGCCGTAGCGCGTCGTGACTGTGGGTTTTTGTTTTGGGCAGAGTGATGCTGTCCACTGCTGAGCTCCACTGGGAGTCGTCTGGCTTCTCCACAGCGCTCCCTCTCCTCCTGCAGGCCCTGGCTCTGGCTCGACAGCACCACTTACAGTCTCTCGCCTCAGAGACAATCCTTCATTTGGCCTTCACTCAGGTCAGAGCACATTTGTGTAAACACCTCCACCGTTTCCCTGAATGCTAATTCTATTCAGATGCGCCAAGATGGGTTAGCAGCACAAGCAGGATTCAGGGTGTAGCTTTACAGTCTTTGTGTCGTGTTATGATCTGCGAGACGAATGATAAAGGTCATGTCTGCAACTTTGAAAAGAATTCAGATTTTATGACAGCAGAATGAAATTAAAATGTGTTTTTAATCAAACCAACCCATGTGTAACCCATGAAGATGTCCTCCAGGGGGAACGCATGAGCTTTGTTTTTGGGTTCTAACCAATTAATCCACTTATTTAAAGAATAAGCGAAGCGACTAATTGTTAATTACAGCTCTGTATTACTTTATGTTGCCATTTAAATGGCATGATGTCATAATATGTTACACTACTCAGATGCTGTCTTTGCAGCTGATGTTGGGGGTTCCTGAGCAGGCCCTAAACTTTCTTCATGAAGCCATTGAGCCGGTTTTAGCTCATGGATCAGTGATGGACAAAGGCCGTGCCCTCCTGCTCACAGCTCGCTGTCAGATGGCTGTGGCTGGGTTTAAGCCAAACAGACAAGGGCACACAGGTAACTGTGTTGAATACAGATGTATATCATATGCCAGTCTCTGCTTTATTGAATATATTTTTGTTTTTTGTTCTTTTTTTCTCTTGATAGATTTAAAAATGCTGACATTGGCAGTAGATACACTCAATGACGCCACCACTTATTTCTCCAAGTTAAACTGCACAGAACGGCTACGGGAGATTCACCACCTCCAGGCTCAGCTCTATCACGCTTTGGGACAAAAGAGTCAGTGTAACAAAAGTGCCATGCTTTTCCGCCTCCTGGACCAAGAGTTACAAACCCCGGCTCTGCCTGTTTCCATGAGGCTCTAATGACTTGGAACTGTCTTTTTTTTAATGTTTTGCAATGACTGATGTTCTCCACCAGATGGCAATAAAGGTCTGTCTTTACATGGTCTTTACCGTCTTTATATATTTATTTATATTTATTTATATTTTATATATATATATATATATATATATATATATATATATATAATTATATATATATAATATATATGTATATATATGTATGTATATGTATGTATATATATGTATATATATAAAAATGTACATATATATATATAATGATGTGTGTATATATATAAGTTGAAAGAAAAAATATTTCTTCATTACATTTTTCCATTATTTACGATTGCTAAACTTGTTTTTTCTTGGATAAATTATTTCAAGTGGTTTTACATTTTTAAGATAGACTATATTGATCTCACAAAGGAGAAATGTACAAAAAATGTAAAGCTGGGGTGCGTAACTTATTTCAAAAATATTGTTATATAGACTGAAGAGTTTTTTTAATGTCACATTTTGAGGAGAAGTTAGGCAACTGGATTCTGCCTCTATCATGTTACCATCTTTACATACTTGAATAAACATTTCCTGTTAGTCACTGACTGACAGTTGGAAAAAGCTGAACTAAAGCTGGGACAGAGGCCAAACATACATACATGCAGGTGAAAGATAGTGGTAGAGCCCAACTGTTTTTAGAGTCATTAGACAGTTTAAAATATATGGTTTGAAATGTAGGCATCCCAGCTTTAATATTTGAGTCTGTGTTTAAACCTGAACTATCTTTTCACTTTTTTTAAACATTTACCTTCTCAACAAAACAATTGCCGAATAGTTTTGCCCTCAGTTATCATAGTAAGGCGTACATGTCTCCGGGACAACCAAGAGCAAAGTGTATCAGGAAATGCTTGGGCAGAACTGATTTACCTTTCCACTCTTTGATAAATGAGGGTAATCTCACAGCTAGCTGCAAGACGAATGCCTTTCAGTGCTTCACATGATTACAACTCGCTTCAAGAATACTGATGAGTGAAGCCAACGAAAAGCAACAGTCACGTAACGTCAGATCTACAAACTAACAATGTCATCCACCTTTTTCCAGTCTGTTACAGCTGCTCACATTCTGGGCATACGCACAAACACCCTTCATACATACTTGAGCTTTGATTTTTGTCCTTTTTTGTGTAGAGTTAAAAAGTGATTTCTCCCTGTAAGAGCCAGGCTGTCCTGTTTTGTTAGTGGGCCACTGTGTCATGTCCTGTTCTCAGCGCCTAAAGCTGGAGGTGGGCACAGGTCCAACTAGGATGCAGAGTATTTAGGGACGAATATATGCTCAAAATAGAAAAGTATATATATAGTTCTGCATTTTCTTTTAGTATCATTTAACCTTTTTTTTGTTGAAAATGTTTAATAACCAGCATGGCAACAGACATGGAGTACAACAATGCATATTTAGAAAAATATAAATACATTATATATTATATATTTCTCTCTCAGCTTATTTTTATACATCATGTACCTCCTACTCAATATTAAACATTTTACAAATAATACAGTTTTCTGTTGAGCAGAAAGCTAGGCACACACAGGTTTTGGACATTTGGACAACCTGAGGTGGGAATGGTATTTAAAAAATATATTAAATATTTATTTTGAACTATAAACAGGAAAACAGATATGTGGCAGTCTATGAGCAGCTTCTCGTTAAACCACTAGCTTTGGCTTGATTTTGCTTCTTGTCTTTCACAAAGTGTAAGTCTCAGATCAAACAACATGTATGGATGTTGTTTGCTGAGAATCCTAAGCAGAATGAAGCCTCCTGCGGTCAGTGGGGATCTCTGAGTGCAGCTGGGGCCACATGCTTCAAAGACATTCAGTCAACTCATGAGGTCAATGTCTGACTTTAAAGTCTTAATTTAAAAGTGTTCTTGGAATTGTCACTGATGAAACCATGTTCCAGTGGTGTATTGTCCGTGTGAGAGGCTCGCCGTCATGCTTCAGTAGCCAGCAGGATACCCTCCTTTCCTGGGGTCGGACTCAGCGCACAGATGCTCCCCCTGCCGCACCACGGCCTGCACCACTGAGTCTGGGGTCTCCAGCATCTCTGTCACATGATTCTTCTGGGCCAGACCCTCCAGGACTCTCTGACGATGTGGAATTTCAAAAAACATAAATGAAAGTTTAAACTTTGTCGGTAAATGTATTTCTGAACATGTCTTTGAGTACGTACCTCCTCAAACCCCTCTTCTACCACTGTCATGTTAGGATTTAGCTGATTGTGAACTCTTGGTTCTGTCACTGCCTTTTTTAGGTCATAGTCAAAAAATAATGAATTTAGGATAACCTGGCAATAGAAAAACTGTTATACAAAGCTGTGTATAGAGTATGACTAATGCTCTGTACTCACTAAGGCTGTGGCTGTGGTGATCTTTGTACCACCTGAAGCTCCTACAACCATTTTCACTTTGTTGTCTTTGTCAAAGATTATTGTAGGACACATGGATGATAGTGGTCTTTTGCCTGAAATTGACCACTGGTTTATGAGATCACCAACGGGAAAGATCAATGAGAAATGAAAGATCAAATCCACACCGGGTTGGATGAAGTTGTTTGGTGATGGGGGTATTCCAAAGCCATTGGTCATGTAAGGGGAGCTGAAGTCGTCCATTTCGTCATTAAAAATGATTCCTGTGGTTCGAGACATTACTTTGGATCCAAAACTGATGAAAGAAAATGTGAATATTTTTATATAATCTTTTCATTTTTTTATTTTTTTATTTTACCATAGATAAAATCAATATCATTGGATTTTCAACATCAACATGCTTACTATAAGTTGATTGTGCTGGTGGCTGCCACAGCGCTCCCATCCTCTGCTATGACGGACAGATGGGCTGTCCCGTGGTTGTCTGGGACAAAGTAGTCTGGCTCATAATAATTATCCGGGTGTGTGGTGTCATCTGATATTCTACTCCTAATGCCATCTGCAAAGTAGTCTGAGGTCATGTTCTGAATGAGCTGCAAGAGGAGGAAGCTGTCAGTAGTTTTTCAAATCTTTCAGAATGATTGTAAATAACTTGTTATAGCTCACATCTGTAATGTTAAGGTAACGCGGGTCTCCAAGCCTGCTCCTTTTTGCATAAGCAAAACGAAAAGCTTCCACTATGCGATGATATGTCAGCGTCTTTTCTTCAGCTGTTGAAACGCTGGTGCCTGTGAAGTTATATCCTGAAGGGATCCACAGAAAAACATTAATATTTAAACTAACAACAGGTTTGATTTCAGTGAATGTCAGTTTACAGGCTCCACATTGGCTGTAAACTGACTTGTGTAACATACATAGATACAGAGATAGATAACAAATGGCAGATGGCAAATAATGCATTGGTTTTCCAATAAATGATGCCTCTTTCCATATTGCTACTAATATGTGCCAGCAGCTCTTCATGCACACACCTGGCCAGACTGACACAAGGCAATGTGAGTGAAGTGTCTTGCCTTAGGAGACAATGACGTTTGGCACTTCACAGCCGCCCCACTGCAGCACCTGGTGTTCCCCGAGGTCTCCCACCTCAGTACTTGCCAAGGCCCTGTCCTGTTTAGCTTCTGAGATCTGACAGCAGCAGCTTTCTCATGCAGGGCCAAACAGTACATGCTTAGTCTTGTAGTGTTCTGGTGACTCACCGTCCACGATGTTGAGGATGAGGCCGAGCACTGGGCCGCTGGAGGGGGCATCTGGGACGTGCATGGTGTACTCCCCCACGTTCAGACGCAGAGGGCTCTCATTCAGAACAGGCTGGTACTCCGACAAGTCCTCCAGGGTAATAATCCCACCTGCAAATATCACATCCCACAACACGTTATGTATGGGTCACAGTGTGGAGAAAAAGTGAATATGTTTTATTCTGGCTGTCTTCAAAACAACGAAAAGAAACATAAAATTTCTGTTTAACCTAGATATTTCTCACTAGTTTGAGAAAAAGTTGACAAATCTTATTTTAAGAATAATGGGAAATTTAACAGTGCATTTTGTTTTGTTGTTGTATTACTTGTTCCTATAATGCACTGTATAATACATATGAATATATTTTTTTCCACAACTCCATATTTCAAACAGAGACTAGTAAAATATCCAATTGGTTCTGTTTCTGTTGCTAATACTACATTTGTCTGTGATGAATCTGAAGGTGAGACCTGCAGCCTGGATGTCCTCCACGATGCTCTGTGCCATGGACCCATTGTAGAAAACATCTGGACCCTCCTCTGCTATTCTTTGGTAAGTCTCTGCCAGCTTCGGATACCGAACAATGTCATTTTCTTTCAAGACATTCCTTGAAGAATCACAAAATACTTCACTGAAAAAACAAAAAAATTGAGAAATTATCAGATGTAACCAGTTAGTTTCCTAATGGGAATGCTGTTAGACTGGTCATTAGTTATTGAGCCATTGTTTTTGCATGGGGGATGTTTCTATGAGAATACTTTCTACTTCTTAGTTCCCACATGTCTCAAATAACTACGGCTCTTTCTTCATGTTTTCTCACTTGGCCTGAGCGATCTGGAGGAATTAATGCCATATTGACTGATCAAACTGATCTGTACAAATTCTTTAACTAAATTACTGGTATGACAAAAAAACAGTATTTTTGAAAGACATTGCGTTTAACAAACTGTTTAAAAATAAATACTGCTGTGTGAGAAAAGAGGGATTGGATTGAAGAAGGATGTAGGGGTCAAAGAGTATTTGAACCTGTGTGTGTGTTTGTTTGTGTGTGTGTTGCTCCAAATTGTCTGTCAAAACTCTGTAAAATTGTCGTACAGGTTTTGAAAATCTCGATTGATTGATTGAATTTATGTGATTCTTAATCCAATCATAGTGAAGGACGAGGACACCTGAGTGAGTGCTGAAAACTCATGCTGCTTATCCAGTTCACAAGATTTGCGATTTATTTTAATACAGGTGTATTGGCACAGCTGCAGCTCTCACCACATGTTCTCGTTGGCTTGAATAGACTCTTTGCTTTTGAACAGAGCGTGAGCCAAGGCTTTCCCGATCGGAAACCCATCCCGGGCCAAAGCAATGCTGGGCTCAAACAGTTCCTTCCAAGGCAGCCTGCCATGTCTCCGGTGGGCCATTTCATAACCTCGGATCTCACCGGGGATGGCTATAGACAAGCCTCCTGCATCAGGTGAAAAACACAAAACTAATAAAAACCAGCCTCTAGCAAAAATGCACACAAGACAATGAAAAACGTACCCTTACTTCATAATATAATCACTTGAGGTTTTACCTCAAATATTTCTGCATATTCAGGGAGGATTTTGAAGTACACATATGTTGTACCATTATAGAAATATTATATTTACACTAAAATTCTATTTGCATTTCATGATTGATCTTTTGGAATACCTCTCCCCTGCAGCCTATTTTATCTGGAATGGAATGTATTTTCCTTTTTTCGTAAATGTTTTTAAATTGTCTTTTTATCTCTAATTTTGACTTGAGAGTCAATCTTTGTGAGGGGTGCTCTATAAATAGTGGTTTCTTACTTACTAACACATTTATTTCTAATCATGAAAATGGTCATTTCCATGTGAGTACATGGAAAATACACATTATTAACCTGCTCATCTGGAGTGTTCAGTTAAAGTGCAACAAACAGTTAATTTGAATCAACGGATTTCACTAAACACTTTCCTGGTTGAAAATGTATTTTACTTCCTGGCTGGATGTAATAAGACCCAGGGTAGGTTTATAGCAACCACAGCTGGAATGACAACATGTTTTGTAACTATTTTGTTAAAAAATAAATTATTTTTAGCAACAATATTTAAGAAATAATCAGTTCCAAAATGCTTTTGAGATAGATGTTAATTCTGTTGTGGTGTAATCCACTACTAATCCTTCACTTCCTGATTATTTTTTATTATCTTTTTTGTATGTATTGGTAATATATGTCACCAATAATCCCATCTTTGAGACGACATTATAATATACAATGAAGTGTTAAATGTGCTTTACCTGTACGGGAAAGTTTAGTGTTGTTTCCAAACATGTCCTCGGTGGCATTCATGGGAGCAGTCTCTCTGGCATCAATGGTTTCTACTTTACCTGAGGAACCAAACATTTGACAAAGACTATGTGGACATTCTAAATTCTGAATGAATGCAAATCCAATCAGTGTTGTTTTTATTTCAGAACAGAAATATTTGTCAAGCTGTTTAGTAAAAATACATTTCTCTTTACAGTAAGTGAACTGGTAAAAAAAAAAACACTTACCAGTTGTTGCATTGTAGATGACAAAAAATAGTCCTCCTCCAATCCCCATACTATGAGCATTGAGCAGTCCTACACACAACAAGGCAGCAATGGAGGCGTCCACTGCCGAACCATTTTTCTTCAAGATATCTCTAGAAAAAAACCAAGTAAAAATCTATTACATTATAACAAAAACTACACAGCACCCGCACAAATAAACACCATCTGATAGATAGATAGATAGATACTTTATTCATCCCCAACATGTTGGAGAAAATGTACAAACAAATAAAACAGAAATGCTCGTATTATTGTTGCCTACCCATGGACTACAACAATGTAAAGGCTTTTTGCTTGTTTTTGTTTCATTTTGATAAACCAAACATATATTCACTCATTCATACTAGTAGTAGAAGTATTTAACAGTAGTATTAGTAGGGGTAGTACTTAATTTCTTAAAGGCAAGTGCAATAACAGGTTGTGTGCAGATATTTGGACTTTACCTTCCCACCTCAGAGCACTTCCCGGCGTCTGCGGCCACAGCTGCCTTGGAGTAGAAGTGGTCAGTTGGTGCAGGTGTGTTCCTCTTCCCCAGTCCCATCATCACTCCCAAAAACAGGCTCACTGCAGCTGCCAGGACCACCACTCCAGCAATCAGGGACTTCCCAACCATTTTCCTGGACCAGAAAGTCACCTGCAGTGAATGGGTGTCCTTTTTACATTCCGAAAGCCCAGACTAATGCTACAGGAGAAGGGACATTGAAGCAGGTAAACATGCCATTAAAATGAGCCACGTATGGTTTGTGGTTTGGTAATGACATGTGCAGAGACCTTGTGGAATTACATCATATGCTTAATTTAAACGCAAAGCATTTACTTTTTATGTCAATATAAATATTGATATTCCTTTATTCCTAGGCAAAAGGGTAAAGGACCGATATATATATATATATATATATATATATATATATATATATATATATATATATATATATATATATATGTATAAAAAATGTGTTGTGGGTTCAAATTTTATGTATATATAGTGCATCTGGAAAGTATTCACAGCGCTTCACTTTTTCCACATTTTGTTATGTTACAGCCTTATTTCAAAATGGATTCAATTCTACACACAACACCCCATAATGGCGACATGAAAAAAGTGTTTTTGAGATTCTTGCAAATTTATTAGAAATTAAAAAACTAAGAAACCACATGTACATAAGTATTCACAGCCTTTGCCATGAAGCTCAAAATTGAGCTCAGGTGCATCCTGTTTCCACGGATCATCCTTGAGATGCTTCTACTGCTTCACTGGAGTCCACCTGTGGTAAATTCAGTTGATAGGACTTGATTTGGAAAGGCACACACCTGTTTATATAAGGTCCCACAGTTGACAGTGCATCTGCTGCTTTGAAGGTCCCAATGTGCTCCATCATCCGTAAATGGAAGAAGTTTGGAACCACCAGGACTCTTCCTAGAGCTGGCCGGCCATCTAAACTGAGCGATCGGGGGAGAAGGACCTTAGTCAGGGAGGTGACTAAGAACCCAATGGTCACTTTGTCAGAGCTCCAGCGTTTCTCTGTAGAGAGAGGAGAACCTTTCAGAAGGACAACCATCTCTGCAGCAATCCACAAATCAGGCCTGTATGGTAGAGTGGCCAGACGGAAGCCCCCCCTTAGTTTGGAGTTTGCCAAAAGGCACCTGAAGGACTCTCAGACCATGAGTAAAAAAATTCTCTGGTCCGATGAGACAAAGATTGAACTCTGTGGCGTGAATGCCAGGCGCCATCTTTACGCATGGCGCCGTAAAGATGGCGCCGTTGCAAGAGCTCTGGTGTGTGTCGGTGCACACCGGGGTAGTCTTGCACAGTTTTTCCTATGTGGTTTTACTGCAAATGGCAAATAAATGAATCTGAATCTGAATCTCATGTTTGGAGGAAACCAGGCACTGCTCATCACCAAGCCAATACCATCCCTACAGTGAAGCATGGTGGTGGTAGCATCATGCTGTGGGGATGTTTTTCAGTGGCAGGAACTGGGAGTCTAGTCAAGATAGAGGGAAAGATGAATGCAGCAATGTGCAGAGACATCCTGGATGAAAACCTGCTCCAGAGCGCTCTTGACCTCAGACTGGGGGGACGGTTCATCTTTCAGCAGGACAACGACCCTAAGCACACAGCCAAGATAACAAAGAAGTGGCTTCAGGACAACTCTGTGAATGTCCTTGAGTGGCCCAACCAGAGCCCAGACTTGAATCCAATTGAACATCTCTGGAGAGATCTGAAAATGGCTGTGCACCGACACTCCCCATCCAACTTGATGGAGCTTGAGAGGTGCTGCAAAGTGGAATGGGCAAAACTGCCCAACGACAGGTGTGCCAAGCTTGTGGCATCATATTCAAAAAGACTTAAGGCTGTAATTGCTGCCAAATGCATTGCATTAACAAATTATTAAGCAAAGGCTGTGAATACATGTGTACATGAGTACATGTGGTTTCTCAATTTTTTTATTTTTAATACATTTGCAAGAATCTCCCAAAAACGTTTCATGTTGTCATTATGGGGTGTTGTGTATAGAATTGTGAGGAAAAAAATTAATTGAATACATTTTGGAATAAGGCTGTAACATAACAAAATGTGAAGCGCAATGAATACTTTCTGGAATATATATACATATATATATATATATATATATGATTTACCTTCATAATGTTAAAAAAGCGTATACAAATATGACAGGCAAAGATGAGCTTCACATATATTTTTACTTTCGGCCCCCGGGGAACTATTATTAGTTTGATACGCCTGATGGACCAGACTAACAAGAACGTCTCTTTAGTTACAGTCCAGCCTCGTGATGTCTCTTTGAAAGAGCCAGACAGACTGAGTGGGCCCAGACAGAGACAAAGGACACAGAGGACATTTGGTATCTTAACTTTTAGAATTATTAAAGTGACTGTAAGAGGTCAAAAACTCTCAAAGACATCTAAAACATAAATTGTCTGCCTTGATGCAGCGAAACAAGCAAATAATTCACAACAGTCATCAGAGTTGACACCTATTTAGCCATGAATGCTCACACAGGTAGTGTCTTAATAACCTTTAATCCATTAAAAGATGAGCACCTTCTTCAGTGTCCTATGTGATAAATTAGGGTGCATTCACATTCACTTTAACTTATTAATTTCTGGCTCAAAAAAATGCTTTATCTGTGAAAGTAAAACCACTCCGGTCAAAGTATAGATATTTTGAGCATTTTTTAAATTGATACCTCTTTGTTCATTGATACATAGTGCTGCCTGTCACTAATGATTACTCTGGGTAACAAAAATATATTTTTTTTAAATAGTCCAGGGTTTTTCAGCTGAATTAGACTAATTTTTATGCTCTGAGTCCGAAAATGACCTTGGTTTTGCTCAATCAGGTCAGGATTTTTTGCTACAGAAATATTTGTTTAAATCGCTTTTGCGTAAAAAACAATTTTTTGCGGATCATCAGCTGAGAAACCCTTGACGTTTTTTCCGTTTTCCTCAAGAAATAAAAGTCAACGTATCCAAAGTCATTCAGATTTTATTTACTCCATCAAATTTGATAAGCAGAATTCATAATAACGTAGACGTATGTAATCCGTAACACTATGGCTGTATCTCAAAAAGTTGACCTGATAGAGCAAAATGCATGTGATATTCGGACTCAGAACACCAAAATAAGTCTAAATCAGTTGAGAAACCCGTGACCAATTTTTGGCTGCCAACTTGTGTTATTTTTATAACTATAACTATTATACAAGTTTATCTAGTATGAAAGCCCGTTTCCACCATGTACAAAAAAAATAAAAAATCCAGCCAGACTCTTGTAATTTCTAGTTTTTTTTTTTATATGAACTTAAAACTCGAATTTACAAGTTTCTGGCTATTTTTATTTATTATTTTATGCCAGAAACGGGCTTCCATAATCTAGCGTTGTCATTTCCTGTATTAAATGTTGTGTTAATCCTTGTGTCTTCCTTAGTTCTACCTGTCCTACCATCAAATCTATCACCTGAGTATTGTTGGTCAATCTGTACTTAAATCCTGGCTGCCTCCAAATAAATAAAAATGCCCCCTTCCTTATCCTTCCTAGCCTTTGTATTGACCCTTGTGGCGTAAATTGTGACCTAAGTGAAAAAGATGATGAATTGCACATGATCAAACCTTGAGCTGCCCTGTGTCATAAAAGGTCCATTTTAAACCACACAAAAAGATGAGGAAAGATACGGAAGGAGGTATTTTTGCTGAATTCAGATACAGCTCCTATGTAGTCCTTCACCACCACTAAAACCATGTGCAATACGTCTGAAATAAACGAGTGAGTGAACGAATGATGTTGGTCGGAGGCTTCGATGCGTCTAACTTGTGTGGAGTGATTGTTGAACTACATGACCATTGTAAGCTGCTTTGTGTATCCTTGGTCTGTAAAATGCACTATATAAGCAATACTCACTTCAATCAATCAATCAATATATCTTTATTTATGGAGCGCTTTTCCTACACAGGGTATCACAAAGCGCCTCAGTCCACACCACACAAGGCACAAATCATCACATAAACAAAGGCAAAATCAGCATTAAAAATACAATTAAAATCACATAGGTAATTAAAAACATTAAAATCACACAGGTAATTAAAAACATTAAAACATTAGAATCACACAAGTAATTAAAACCATTAAAATCACACAAAGGATTACAATAATAATCGTCACTCACTATGTTACTTCACTCTTTTGCTATATTTATTTTGTTGTCCATACTTCAGGCCTTCCAGACTGCAGAATAAAAGTGGCCTGCTTTCAGATTCCGACCACATCCAAAGGCCCAGGGTTGGTTTGATTGGCTCAGCCGGACGCGTTGCCATGCTCAGTAGCACTGCTATATTCGATTTGGATTATATTTGGCACCCTCCTTGCACCAATTGAAATGCCCAAGCCTTCTTTGCAGCGGCAGGGATCCAGGCTGTCTGTATCGTTGACAGCAAAATACTGGAGTGTGTTACCTCGGCTAAACCTGCTGCTATGAGGCTGATAAGCTGCCTGCGCCCTCCTGCAGGTGCACTCTCATCACATTCATGGCAAGGAGCTAATCACAAGAACTAATGTGACTGTAATTTACTAATAATGACTGTAGGTTTTATTTTTTTGCAGACTTTTAAACGTCCATCCATCCATCTTCTTCCCCTTAATCCATTTCTGGGTCTGGGGGTGGCAGTCAGAGCTGCACCTATTTCAGATAGCATCAGCCCCTTCAGGCAAAGTGGGGTTAAGTGTCTTGCCCAAAGACACAACAACTGCAGAAATCAGTGGGAGTCGTGAAGTTGGTCTCGTGGTGGGCTCAAAGCATAGACTGCCTATCTCTGCCGTTCTAACTAAGGGGCCAAAAATTGGGCTGTACTGGAGTGATTCAAAATGGCCTCGGGGGCTGGAAAATGTGAAAAAAACGCCTCTGTGCATGCGTCAGCCGGCACGAGCCCCAACTTTTGGACCATCCTGTAAAGACGTTTTCGTGAGGTCAGCTAATGCTATATGTTTGCATTGGCTAATTCTTATTCCGGGTCCACCCCCATCGGCCCGGGGTGGTATTGCAAGCATGTCCGCGTACGTCATTTTGGCCACTTTTGAGCTGGGACCTGCCCCCACTAGCTCAAACCCATGACCTTGAGGCTCAAAGTCCAATGCTCTCCCCACTGAGCCACTTTCGCGACTTTAAAATTGATCATGTACATACAATTACAGCTAGTGTACCTATTTTTTCCGTATTTAATACACTCAATTTGTGGCAACAGAAATAAATTCTTGTTAGAGTAAAAATAGACAACAAAATGCTCTCTTCATCTTTTAAGAAATCACGTCTTTGGCTTTCTTGTAAGACAGAGTTGTATCAAGTCACTATTTGACTCTGGGTGGTCCTCTCGTTTTCACTTTTCTGTCTGAAAAAGCAGATCTTGTAACAGAAAGCAAAAATCCATGCATGAGAAAACTAGTGATAGTGTGAAAACTAGTGACATGGACTTTGTTGCATATTTCCATTTCTGCGGTTTTAAAATTAAGTACCCCAACTTTGAGAACGTTTTTAGAAAGTGCTTTTCACAGACCAGGGTCACAAAACTCTTAACAAAGGTAGTCATTTACAGTCACAGTATGAAAGTTATTAGCAATATTTATATTCTGAAGTACAAATCTGAATCATCCCATTTCACTGGAAAATGTCAAACCCACATGATAAGAAGAGACATCTGCTCCCGTTGGACACAGCTCAAAATTTCCCCCATATTTCTCTTTTTATTCTATCAAAGTTGCATACATTACTTATCTCAAAACCTTCAATAGGTATTTCTTTACCATTGAACTGCATTTTCCATCACTGAAAGACTGAAATGACTGTGCACAAAGCTACCGTCTCTCTCTGATTATCCATTGATCTCTGAGCTGCAAGAGATGGAATTCTGGCTTGGATTACATTGTATTGTTTCCAACATGTTCATTATCGACTCCGCTTCACCGCTGCTCTCAAGCCCTGCACAAGAGCTGCAGTTTGGAGACGCCTGGCCCTCAGTGCACTCATCAAATAATCATCTCATTCAGTTCATGTTAGTGTTCATAATCTTCATACCAGACCGATGTGTAAATATCCATGACTATATAAAAGAAAAATCTATATGGTGTAATTGCAATTTTTTGGCATGTACAGTTTGGACTTTTCTGATATTTGGCTCCACACCGCCTCTTCTTACAGCTGCTGGTTTCACACACAGTATAAATGCATTATTATCCCTGAGTCAGGCCAACAAATCAAATCAAGTACTCCTGTGGTTTCTAAGCGACAGATTTAACCCTTGCTGCTATGAGAGAGACTGAGAAGGAATGTATAACCAAACAAACATTATTTATTCCACACAAAAAAGAAATATATATATATATAAATAAATATATATATATATGGTTTTCGCTGTAATGATATAGTAATGGTTGCTATAAAACATAAATATATTTGTAATTTTCTGTTCCAAAATGTATACCAGTTTCTGAATAGGTCTTTAGAGCCAGAGTCTTTAAATCATTGATAAGGGATTTTATCAAGACAAATTTAAGAAAATTACATTTAGTAACAATCTCCTAAATGTAATGCTATTTTCCTTGAAATGTTCCTTTGTTCCATTCAAGATCCAATTGAAAAAAGGATTTAAATATTACTGCAAAATAATGACAATTTTCGCAAATGTATTCGCTTTTATTATGAAAATTGTGTTTAGTTTAGTTAGTCTAGTTTATCATTTTGTATTCCTTAATCTTGAGTAAAGAATAAAAAAAGATATTCCCTGTTGACCATTGCAGCGCCAGACAAACAGGCGTTCTTCTCCTAGCCGGGACGTGGGGGCTTCACTTGCTAAACTCATCATATGTATTACGAATATTTGAGAGACAGAGCCAATCACAAACAAGAATATGTCCAGACAAAGAGTAGAGAATTAAGGGATTATTCTTAAAAGTCATACAAATACTTGCACTCTTTACCGAAGCAAATTCTTGGTTAACGACTTTCTGTTATGCCGTTTTTCCACAGTCCGAGTACGGTACGTTTTGACTCTACACGGCGCGCCATGGCCCAGTTCGCGTGCTGTTCCATCAAAAAAAGTACCCCCAGTATGTCCTCAGCGTTGTCAGACCACGTCATTTACGTGTGACGTGTAACTAGTACTGGTGCGGTGCATGGATTTATTATAATACCAGAGCAAGTGTTTAATAGAAAATTCAGCACAGCACGAGTAGTTTTTGATAATGCTTATATATTAAAAGAATGACTCAGACACTGTGAAGTCATAGTGCTGACTGCTCTGTACAATCTGAATGGGACCTGTAGCAACAGCAGCCTGTGTAGCAGAGGAGGAGGGCTGCATGTCCGAGGATACTGCTAGGCTAAAGCTAATGCTAGCGCTAGCTCGAGACTCTGCTCACTCACTAACCCTGGATTCCAAAGCTACTACAATACTACACTTAACACATCTATCACTGCCATCAGAGGAGGATCCAGGGTTTAAACTCGTCATATGGCAACTCGAGCAGTAAAGGACCGAGGGAGAGACAGCGGCAACCATATGGGTAGCGAGTTAGCGGCTAGGCTAGGCTAAGCTAGGCTAGGCTAATCCGGACTCGGGTCCGGACTACCGCAGACTCCGAGACCAGACAAACAATCGATACCCAAACCTCAGCTACAATAATAATAAATGAATGAAACACAGTCTTGGGATACAATCACAGATTTATTGAAAACAAAAGTAAAGTGCAAAACCAACAGTTTACAAAGTCAAAAGTACGTATGTCTGAGACCAGGTCCAGACCAGGTCCAGACCAGGTCCAGACCAGGTCCAGACCAGGTCCAGACCAGGTCCAGACCAGGTCCAGACCAGGTCCAGACCAGGTCAGGTCCAGATGAGAATACTCCGGTCACTCATTACTCGTTGGTAATCTCCACATTTATGGAAAGGGATTCTCATACAAATATACACACAACAACTTAAATACAAGCACAAAACAGAATGACAACACGTGAATACTGCAGATAATACGAGATAAAGCACAGTAGCACAGGGAGGACGTTAGCTTAGCTGCTATCGATAGCTAAATGTAGCTAAATGTAGCTAGCTCACTGTGTACAACAGACAATCGAGCATTTACACAGTAAATACATTTCAGTGAGAGCTTTAGGGGGTTCGTAGCTAACCAGTTATTTCAGGATAACCACAGACTAGTCACAAATCCAGAGTGATCTCCTGAAAACTGTGTTGAGCCTCGAGCTGCCTTTGAATTCTTTCTTTTGGCCTGAAGAGAGGAACGTGTGGACCTCTTCCACCGACCAGGACCAGGACTTTTGGGGCTTTCTGTGTGATTCCATTTCTCTGGAGTGAGGAGGACGTAATGTAGCCGAAGCAGAGCCGAGCAGAGCAGCCGGTTTTAAAGATGGCGGTTGAGTTGTTTTTCCCAAAGGGTCAGATGCAGTGTTGCCAACTCCTCAGTAAGGAAAGTAGCTATTGGCTGTCCCAAAAGTCGCTAGAAGTCGCTAAATGACGTCATCGCCTAATTTGCATATTTGTCAATTTGCAAATAACTGTAACGGACGCTGTAGGAGAGAGGAATAACGTCGTGGGAGAGACAAAAGTGAGTAAAAAACACCCTAAATATGTTTAGAACTACAAATGTACAAAAATAATTTCAACATTAACAACATTTAATGATTTTAATGCTTTGTCTAGATCTGTCGCTAGTCGCTTTTTTGAAAAAAAGTCGCTATAGGGTCTGAAAAGTCGCTAAATCTAGCGACAAAGTCGCTAAGTTGGCAACACTGGTCAGATGTCGCTTCCAGTGACGACACTCGTTGACCAATCAGTGTAAGGCAGTGGGCCGACGTGACGTCATGGCACGGGTACTATGGGGATGGAACCACGGCTGAGGCAGGACGGAAAAGTACTCAAATCTCCCATTCCATCCACTAGTGGAAAAGCAAAATAGGTGCGCCGTACCGTACCAAAATGAACTGAACCGACACTGTGGAAAAACGGCATTACTTACAATGCCACTAAAAATAATTCAGATTCTGTAATCTTACTGGTGATGCTTATCCCGAGAGGAGGGACTGCTTTAAATATATGTAATGTGAAAAATATTATAGTTATACACGACACTACACAATCTTATGGTCAAAAGTATGTATTATTTTCAAAAAGAAAATACAAGGTATCACCTTTAATGCATTTCCACAAATAGGCCTTTCATAACAAAGTAACATACAGGCAATTTCTTATGCTTTGAAAGTTATTCCAATTCAATACTGCACTGCCAAAACAAATGCACAATCCATTTCATCCCCATGCTGATCAGACAACTTTTCATCAGGGGAAGACAAAGCGACCAATTCACGCAGGTCAAGTGCAAGTCGGATGCGCCCCTTGTCAGCCATTAGCGGCACCAGAGGGGTCCCAGGACAGCTGCTGACAATGATTCAGCGCAGTAGTGACAGATAAGAACATGACATGACAAGTTATGCTGATGCTGACCCACAGCGGGTTTGCCCACAGAGAAAAAAAAACAACATATTAATAGCGAGCCAAGAGGAGATTCAGAAACGCTCAAATAAATGCTGCTTCTGGCAAGGTACCGGCGCAGCGGATGTGCGCGTCAACTATATTTCTTGACAAATAGTGACATGTTTGTTTTACAGGCGGTAATCCTAAAACTAGTCCTGTTGTTTTCGTCAAAGATGTGATGCTCGGGGGTCACGTACGCACAGTGCAGCGGACGCGCGCACGGATTGGTCGGGAGCTCCACGTTGCACGGCTCTAAACAATCAGCCAAGGCGGGGAGGATGGAAGGAGCGAGCGCATCCTCAATATCTGGAGACAGGCGCACGAATTCAATGCGCTTATTGTATCTACGTTGCGAGTGGGGTCTTTCTGCAGGGGGGGGAACTGCGGGTCGCTTTGGAGATGCTGAATAAGACATGAGATATCACGCAACGTCCATTGCAGCGCCAGACAAACGGGCGCTCTTCTCCTATCCGGGACGTCTTTCCTTTTGGCAATAATAGCTTCACTTGGTATAGTACTATTGCTGCTTTAATATGGGGTCCAGACTGAGCAGACAGAGCAGCTTGGACAATGAGAATTTCTCCAAGAAGCGCCGCACGCTCTTGGATAGCACTGGGGAGAGTGAAAGGGGCAATACCAGGGGCGGAGGGGACTTTCTGTTTGCCTTGATGCTCAAATCGGACAAACTGCCCGGGATGCTGCGCAGGACCAACCACAGTCCGTACATGCGGCGAGTGGCTTGGATCAAAGATATCCAGAAACTGCTGCGTGAGCGGAGGATAGAACAGGCGACCGACGTGCTCAAATTACTGAGAAAGGTAAGGGGCCGGTGCATGTTTACAAGTGCGTTGTTGATTTGTGACTGCAGCTGACCATGCAGAGAGTATTATGCATGCAACAGATGGAGGATGCTTTGGATTCGTGCGCCCCATACTTCACTTATTAAACCTTTTCTCTTTCTCTAACTTGCAACATTTATATTCAATCTGTTGCCTCACTTCTAATAATACCCTCGCATTACTATGTCCTTGTGTTAAAAGTAGGCCATTGGCAGAGCGGTGGGCCTGTCACGCATTATTTCTGACTCACTATTCTGTCCTTGTTCTCCATGTGTTGACATTTGATTTGTATGAGTAACTTAAAATAACCCCACGTGATGTTATTTCTATTCCACCTCTGACCCTTCTCTCTTAGTGCCCACAGCTTCAAATGTATTTTTCAATCATGACCTCCCCTCCAACCATATGCCAGCGAATGCAATCTAAATACAAATGTCCTATTCACCCTACAACAACAGTTGAATTGCTGACCCATTTCCGGCTGCGCATGAAGTCCTTTGGAAACATCATTTTTCAACATTAGCATATCCTCAAAGAGTTATTTTTAGTTTTTCACCTTCAAAGTGAACGTAGAATTGTAGAAATGGATACAAATATTGATAGCCTGCAAGGGGCTTCTTAGTGGCACTATTATATCAACAGAAAACAGATGCAAAAGAAAATTTGAAAATAGACGAATCTATATTCTTTAAGTGTATTCAACCACGGCAATAAAAAATAGTGTTGCCCAAGAAATTGTATCTCCCCTAAGTACCATCATGCATGTGCGTTCTCTGGGGATGTTTGCATATAAGGCCCGGGAACTGGACCCTATTATCTCCAGTTCCTTTTTAGTCGGGGAACTACCCAGTTCAAATGGCTGACATAAGTTCTAACTGGATTTAATAATGCATATTATATAACGCTTTTCATGACACTCAAAGACGCTTCATGGCAGTGGGGGAGCTCTTCATGTAATTAGTTTGGAGAGTTTAATAAAACATTCATAATTGTACTTGACACACACTCAAGGTCCAAACAGAAGTCCAAATCTTACATTGCTAACACTTACACTTACTCATAACACTATAACATTTGTTTAATAATTTATCATAATGTTCATGAGCATTCTATAGGTTTATGTGAAAGTGCAGACTACTGTGTAAGAGAAATCAAAGAATAAATAAATGAAAAGGATTTCAAAAGAAGGTACACTTTTTTCACCAAAAGGTTCCTGTTTTCTCTGTGAAGCAGAAACCTATTTCAATCCCCAGTGCTTAAAAAAACGACAGACCAGGGAACTGAAAAAGGTTCAGAAAACACAGACCATAGCTTTCCATAAAATCCGTGCGGCCTGACAATCTGATGTGTCCCACTGCTCAAGTTGTCTCATGCTTACTGCTCCTCACTGGGCTTTGCTTTTATTGTGCATGAACCCAACTGTTGTACTGCTGTATGTAGAGATTCTTCATCCATGGTCTGTCTGTAACGGTCCTGTTAAAGTCCAATTCCGGTTTCAATAATTGTGTAGCCCAGCAATGATAACTGTGATGAAACTAATGCTTTTTTTTAAATAAACCATATGTCAAAAAATATGTAATCTTTGAAACATGTCAAAGTGACAGTGCTGTAGTTAACCAGACCGGACTCAAAACGGCCTAAAAATGTGTCCCTCTGGAAAGAGTTCAATATGTTCAATGCTTTTTCAGGAGTGATGAGTGGATTAAACTGATTCTCCAGTACTTTTCTCCGTCTTGGGCAGTAAATATTTTATTTTGTTTTGATTTATTTGAAAAATGGAAATATGAATGAAAATGAACAAATGTTGAGAGAATACATATCATAAATAATATAGTATGTATAATATTCCGGACTGTGAATGAGTGACTCTGTTTCAATCTGTCCCACGCTCCTCGTCATGACAGTTATCCAATCCACGCTCAATGCACAAGTTCCACATGCAGCATTGGACATAAGAGGACAGTCAGAACTCATTTGTATTGTCGCCCTTAGCCCCTTTGCCGTCTCCGGGCTGTCAACGATCCACGCTTAATTACTGTGAAGTCTTGCCACGAGGGAGAGAGAGAGAGAGTTGTACCTCCTTAATCAAACCAAGCACATGCAACTATAGATGTAGCTCCACGACAGCCTCATCACAGGCCAACTCTCTCCACCGAGCAGCACTGTTGCTGCCAGCGGTATTAAAAAAGCAAGATGTCTGAAAGATTCTTCTCCGATGCTCCTCTCTGAATTTCAAACAGGAGCTTAATTGGTGGCCTAGATAGGAAATAGTGTTGAAGTGAAATACTCAAATAATGTTTTGAAAAGTATATTTTGTATTGTGAAACCAAATACAACCCCAGAAACTATTATATTTCCCTTCTTTTCTCTCCTCAGCCAAATCTAATACATGATAGACTCATTACATGTAATGGGTATTTATAGAGATGGAAGCAAGTGCCACAAATGAATTGATTATGAAATGAACCCAAGAGGCAGGGCTGCTAAAAACAAAAGACAAATCCACATAACTGAACCAAACGGGGGAAAAGACAATAACTAAAAGAGGTGTTGAAATGAAAATGATGGAACAGGGGGTGAAGGACCACACAGTGTTTAAATACAGAATGACTAATGACACACTGGTGGTACACATGAGGGCAGGGCAGATATTCAACACTAAGTAGAGCTAAGGTAGACACAGCGGGTTACACATTACAAACTAAGAGAAAAAATAATCCTAAACTGTAACAGCAGGGTTGCCATACAGGAGGCGCATACTGGCTTTTCCAGGATTAATTCATTCACTTTAACTTTTTTGCCAAACTACTGGGACTACTCTAAAAACATGGCAATAACCTGATCTATTTCAATGCTGCTATAAGTGTAGAGACTAAGCATGAGAAGTAAGCCTTTATGTTTCCCCTATACAAATTGTCAGAGGAAGATATTTTTACACTTCTCTCAGATGGGATGAAGCGTGTCGCCCCCGCTTTGGGTTCACACCATGTTTATCGTTACCCTCGCTGAAAGGGGAGCTCGTAATGTGCTGCTGCTGCTTCCCACTCAGCCTCATGTCTATTCCAATCAATGCTGATGGTGTTTGGGTCAAGTCTTGTGGTGCATGGAGGTCCAGTGTAGGTCATGACTCTCTGGCCTGACTCGCTCATTAAATAAGAGGTTTTGGTCAGTAATTGGGGGTTCATGCGAGACTCTGTTGTTTGAGCTTGGTATAATGGCGGAAGAATCAATCTTTTAGGAGCCAAAGTATACTGTTGCATCAAACACTTTCAACACAGTGACCTGGCTTCCCACAATCCTTAATGTCGTTGTTCACAAATATATGTAACTAATAAAATGTGCAGTATGTTTTCTTGACTAAAAACTAAACAATAAACTAAAAAATAAATCAGAATCGAGGATATATTAATAATAAAACCATCAGCAACATACTTTCAGACAAAGGCAATCCAAATAGTGCATCAAAACTGTACGGGCTAATGTTGGCTCGAATACTGAGTGTTAGACATGTTTTCCCGCTCCCTATGGACCAATACCTCCTGTGTGTTTCTTATTAATGCATTTTTTGTTTTCTTTTTGATTCTCTAATCCAGTCATGTCCAAACTCAGGCTCGTGGGCCAATTGCGGCCCTCTGTGCCATTTTATGTGGCCCTCTGCTGCTAACACAAAGTCCTTATTGAGGCACTTTGACAGTGTCATCCAACCTACTTCAGCTCCATCAATACAGTCATGTCTATACCTTGTTGTAAATCTAAGAACTTCTGGAATCCACTTGTTAATACTGTCATTTGTTTTGTTATTGTGTCACAACATTCCACATAAAATGCATGGTGGTGTGAATTGGTAAGGACTTATTATGACCTATTTAGAATTCCACAATCCAGTCACTCCAGCTCAAATCTAGTTTTATAAATCCATGTTGTCGGCCCCAGGTCAAGTATTATGAACTAAAGTGGCCCTCTTACTAACAAGTTTGGATACCCCTGCTCTAATCGGTTGTTGGCAAATCAACACTTGTGTAAAGTCCTCCAAAACAACTTTTGTTAGGATTTAAGATAAGATAAGATACACTTTATTGTTATTATTTATAGTTTATTTTACATGCCACATTTGGCGTAGACAGGGCTATACAAAAAATACATATAATTGTGCCTATACAGTATATCATGCCTGTACAACATTTCTACATTTCTTCCTGTTGCCTTTTGCTTCACTATAGAATGTGTGCTTTACTTTCAGTCTCTTAACACTTTCAAACAGTCACTTAACTTTCACAGGTGGGATTTTAGAATATCAATCAAAAGTTAATTATTCAACTTATGAACTAATTGAACTAATATGAAACCATTATTTTATATAGACTTACTACATGCATAATTGTCAAGCCTTTGTTGTTGTAATTTGGATGACTATGACTTACAGTCTATACTCAAAATTTTATATTCTGAGATTATTTGTATTATTATTTTTACAAGCAGTGAGCCATATATTAGTTTCAATTAGTAAGGTAACTTTTGAACAATCATTTTCACCTGCACCTTCACTATAGGCTGCTCTTGCATAAGCCAAGGATAAAGATAGTGTGTAAAACAGGATAGTAAACATTCCATCTCGAAGTCATAAATCTTCTTCAAATTTCATCTGACAAGAGTTAAAGGTTGAAACGGATACAAGCAGAATGATTGCAGCTAGCATTACACTATAGGTTCTTGGTGGTGGGAAGTGCATAAAGTTGGGAGTGGAGGTGCAATCCTCAAAGCCACAAAGCTCCTCCGACTCCCTCCAGATCTGACATCCTTGCTGCAGATGAAAGCTGCAGTCTCCACTAATGAATAATTAAAAGCAAACATCTCTTTTATCTTTCCATTTTGAGTAACTTCTCCTTCTACGCTGCTGAGACGTCTTTCTCACCAGAAGTAATGCATTTTTGCCCCAAAAGTCAAATCACAACCAATCTCTGTACACGTGCTATTAATACGTTCTGCTTTTGATCGTGATGTTCTGTGTGTGGCAGGATCTGGGACTAGAGGGAGCGTCTTTGAATGACATCTTGTACAAAAATGCTGCTTTTCTAAACCTTGTGGATCCCATCTCGCATGAACTGCTGCTCAGCCTTGCACGAGAGATGCAATGCCCCAAAAAGGTGAAGTATAGTCTTATTGTACTCAATGTATGCTACGTTTTAGATCTATCTAACTTTGTAAGCACAGATGTCATGTAAAATTATGCTTGTGTATGTATGCCTAATAATACAGTTATAATAATCTCTGTAATAGGGCTACTTAAACAATCACAAGTAATATGAGTTGATATAAGGTTGAACCACAATATATATATAATTACATTTACATCAACAGTCTATCGTCATTTACAAGAGTCACAAAGGTAGAATAAGAGTCCGCTGTACGCCCAAGCAGGGGTCTCCAACCTCTACCTCAAGAGTCTCCACCCCCTTCCAAGTAGTTCACTAAAGGATTTATACATGACAAATAATAGATAAGATAAGAGATCCTTTATTTGTCCCACAGTTGGGAAACTTCTGCTAAATTTAGAAAAAAAAAAATCCACCTATAGATCCTATAGCTCTCTAAATGTGCGTGGTTCCATAAAGAGAGAAAACCAATCTTGCTCTTGCTCAGCCAATCAGCTCTCAGCCCAATTACTGTTGATTAGTGTTCATTGCAATTCGTTCCTGTAAAAGTAGCTCTGTGGCTGGACTCCTGCTTTAGAATAATGGTTCAGCCCCACATTCAAATTCACTAATCCAAACATCTGCCGTTCATATTCTATGTCTGTATTCTCAAACTCTGTATCCAAAACTATAATGAAGAAATGTACAATCAAGCAGGCTTTTTTGTTACTAACTTTTGTTGATTTGTGTTATACCTGACAGCCATCAGGAACAAGAAAATCAAAGGTAGTGGAGTAGAGAACAGCAAGTGTGTTGTTTGTTTTATGCATATGAAAGTCACCGTCGACCAGAGCCACCGCTAATGAACAGATAGGCTCATTGTTTACCGGCAGAGGCTGCATCTCCCCGGTGCACTTCCTGTGTTTTCCCCACCAATGAACACTGCATGTGATTAGATTTTCTTGCTCCAGTAAGACATTGAAATTGTGTTTTGTTCAGAAGCGGTGCTCAAACCATAGGAAGTCATAACCACAAGCACAACCATTTTCAAACATGTTTTAGCATTCTTATCACCTGTATATGTTTAGGTTATGTAAGTCAGTGGTTCGCCAACATTTCACACCGTGTACCTAAAAATATACATTATAAGCAGTATATGAGCTCTGTCACAAGACTTATTTGGAGAAAGGCCTAAAAGTGTCCTGAAATCCACCTGATATTATTGATTCTAAATGTTAATACATTTGAAGGGGACTTTGCACACCTCTAGAACAAACCCATCCACCTCCAGTGTTAAATGCCCCACATTTTGAGAACCACTGATCTACATAACTCAACGTTGCATTTGTTGTTCATATAGAAAAGACAATGTGTTTGTTCAATGAATAATCGGTCAATAAAATAATGTCTGAGATCATGTCAAAAATGATTTCACCAATACCTCATTGAAAGTTGAAGATGGTACACAGTTGCTCAGAAAGACACTATAATAAAAAAAATTAAAAATCAATTTGAAATGATAGATGCTTGACAACTTGGGCATTTAAATATCTCAAACATTAGTTATTATGTGTCAATACTGTACCATCTCGATTTTAACACTATCATCTATATCATTTCATGTTGTGTTCACTAGGATTGGCACTGTCACCTCATAAGACTTTTTTCTACTATCATCCTCCAGGACACAGACACAATAAAGTCTTCGGATAAGATTTGCCGCCAGCTGATCTACCACCTGACCCCGCACTCCAAGTGGCTGCGGCAGAGCATGTCCAGACGGAAATCCCAGGCCTGGTAAGCCCGCTGTGGCCAAAACCGGCCCTGGCTAATGCAATCATCATAAATCTGCTGCTCTGGGTCTGATCCATGATGGGGGGAGGAGATGATGAGAGAAAGGGAGAGAGGTTTTCATCTTTGCAGCTGACACTGAACCGGGACAGAGCTGGACGCAGGCTGACCTGACCACAGCAGCCAGTCTGTGTTCTCATAAAAAAAGCTCCAGGCACAGAGCTGTTTGGCTAGAAGCTTTGGCCAGTTTTAAAATACGCAATTGCAAAAACAGCTGTGGTCTGGTCTTAATAATCGCATGCATTATTTCTGGCTGTTAAACATTATAATGAGAGTATCAACATTCTCATTTAACGTTTAATAGTTTGAATCATATCTTAAGTATTAAAGGAGCTATACCTGTTTCTGCAAGGTTTGAATGTTTAGCACCGCCCACAACTTGCTCACAGGCTTCTCATTTCCCCTACGCTCTCCTACGGAGCCATCTAGTTTTATTTGCGATCTGATACATATGCATACATTAGCATTAGCGCAACATAAGCTGTACAACAATCACTGATGAAATGGTACAAAAGCAACGCACTGCTAACATAATATATAACTGAAAGATTACGCTAGTTCCGCGTCCGAATGTGGTCCGAGCATAGATAGTCCGAGGCGGTCCCGCAGGTCTCTCCCATAGACAAGTCTCTCTAGAGCACATGTGTCAAAGTCAAGTTGGCCCGCTAATGAATTATCTATGGCCCCCGGGACATTGCCTGCCATTGAGGCAATGTATTGACCCCTTAAGCTCGCTAGCCCCCGCCGGCGGGAGCAAACGAGGAAAAAAATACATCTGCTGGCAATAGCAGATGTATTTTGAACTTCATAAGCCACAAGCTATATATCATTTTAAAGCTTATTTTCTCAGCTATTTTATATGTAAGTGTAAACGATATCAGACTTTGCATTAAAAAGATATAACGCATAATATGGGCACAAAATAAATCACGTCTGTATTTGTTTTTTACCTTTCGTCTTCTGCTGCTCCAACAAATTAGACTTTCCCCATCCTTGCTTAGTCGCTTTCTCTCCGTAACTGTCTATTGAAGAAGAATATCCACTTGTATTTCCCAAAGTATAATCCATTCTGCAGATTTTATCAAAAAACGCCCCGAAAAGAGGTCCAGACTGCTCTTTTACATTTCACCAAGTTTGAGCTTTTTTGTTTTTTTTTTTTTACTATTTTCATGTTCTCAGATGTCTATTACATCTAATATGTACAGTATGAGGATTGGCTTTAGAGCATATTTTATCGAGCCAACAGGTGTCACCGGCACTGCCTCTGGATGTTGAGAAACATTGAACCAGTCCGGCCCTCGGCGCGTAGCAAACATTTTTTTTTGGCCCTCTGATGTACAGTATTTGACTTTGACATGCCTGCTCTAGAGGATACGATGTAAGCTAGCTATGTTCACCCAGGCTTGATTTCTTCTTTGATAATTTTTTCGCTCACTGTTGTGTCATTTGGGCTGTTTTGCTGTATACGCAGTTACAGCAAGAGGAGTTATAGCCAATTCTGCTAACTATGCTACTGTTTTTAGCTGCGCTGTAGAGGCTAGAGGACGCCACCTTGTTCTGTGAGTGATGGGGAGAGCCAGCGGCCCGCTAAAAGTCATCTCAGCACTTTGAATGGCCTAAACTCATGCTTATGCTGAATCAATGAGCTCCAGTTTTCAATTCAATTACAGTTTTTAATACAACTTGTATGTAGTTATACGGATTTGTATTAACGCAATAGAAAAAATCGGGTATAACTTCTTTGAATATATGATGAAATAGGAATTTGCTTTTTGCCTGTAACTTCCTCTGCCACCACTAAAGGGAGGTGTTGAAAGGGTTTTGTCATAGAATAATTACATTATACTATCACAGGATTGAGACAAGAGCTTTTAGATAGAAAGGAGTTACTGATGTTACCGTTGATCTGAAAACAGCTCCAGGTCTGTTTTGGACAAGGGAACAATGTTATAACATGGTGAAAAGATCAAAGAAGCCACTTTTGAATAGTTACATTTAGGCTTGTGATGATCATTGTTATGTAGGTGGCAAACTAGATACTAATTTCAGAAAATATCGGGAAAGTTAATTGTCCAAAAGAAAAAAATCTTCATTCAGATTTTGTAGATTTTCATCAAGTGGTATCGAGTAATCTTTTTCTCAGCATCAGAATCAAGGTTGTAGTTTTAGTAGCATGATAACACTTGTTTAATTCTGCCCATTGGGGATCTGTCCATCTATTTTGCCTTTGAGTTTGTGCTCAGCCTGTTTTATCTATAATCTGTAACTTTCTCTTTAAAAGGGGCGAGAATGTTGTTCGTCCCATGTGATATGATAGTTTAAATGTCAAATAACATCACGCTTCAAACTTTCATTCTTGGGTGATGTTGCTTCTTTTAATCCTTTAGGAGCACATAGCATCTTCTTTTAATTAGAACTCCTGGCAATTTTTTTTTTTTTTTTTAAACATTCAAATTTGGACGTTGCAGTGACCAATGGCGTACTTGTATTTTGTATTTGAAAAACACATTTGTTGTGTCATGTTTTTATTCTTTAATCCCAAGAACCGAAGCTTTGTAAGGTCTTGCTAAATTAGAATTGTGTCCCCTCTTATTGTCCAAAGATTTCCCAGAGATCATGATACAGAATAAGCCCTGTGTACAAGTACAGGCTAATCCTCCTTATGAAATGAGACAGGCTATTGTGTCCCGGTTTTATGCAATTGCTTCTCCCACAGATGACTAGATGCTGAGGATAATGCATTCAATTTTGCAAGATGAAAATAATCTTATACACGTAGGAAACACAATGCGACACAGTGAGATGGGACAGGTTCATTATGAGTCAGCCAAAGGTATCAGCGCAGGAGATCTGAGAGAGGGAAAGACAGCCTGCCACCATCACTTTGATAGACTCCATTTCTCCTTCATCCTCTCCTCACTCCCAATGCTTTGTTACCAAACCGTCGAGATTGGCACTTACAAAACTCACATCATTTATATGCATGGAAATAACTCGTATGTGTGCCCTCCAGCATCATCTGCTATCTTCTCACTTCTCACTTCATAAAATGTCTGGACTTGGGTGATTGTTGGTATAAGTTTCCTTCATTAAAACCCAGAGAGTATTTATTTACAGATTACTGAATAGTTGCCGTATATTTATTATGATAACTATTATTATGTTTTTTTATAATTATTATTAGAATTATTATTATTATTATTATTATTATTATTATTATTATTATTATTATTAAAGGTTCCATATGTAATCTGCCCTCTTAGTGGTCTAGCCCTTACATTCAAAAGACAACTTGATTGCACTTACTGATGCGTCCACTTGCTGGGGTTTAGATGGAAACAGTACAAACTCTGCTTAATACATATGTTTATTTTTTTGTTTGTGAATTTTGTTATATCAAGATACCAAGACTAGCTAGATTTCACCTGGTAACCCAAATGAGGGCCTCATTCTGCTCTCTAATCTGCTTGAAAACAAAAATATTGTGGCCATGATGTCCATTTTTTTTCAAATAAATCACTTCACTTTAAACTGTTCAGAAAGTATGAAATGTAATCCAATCAGAGTTTTATGCACAATATATATTATAGTGTGCGATTAGAAAGACCTTGTGCTATTGTTCTTATGTCATGTCATTCATTATCTTCTCCTTTATTAATCCATTTCTGGGTCGGGGGGTGGCCATCAGAGACGCCACCCAATTATCCAATTATTATTTTTCAAAGAAAAGAATTAAGCACACTTTTGTTTTGTATGTAATTCTTGTCCAAACTGCATGATCACATACTGAATTATATTCCTTCCATTTTTGAAAAGAATCTGTATTTTGAAAACAAAAGGTGATGTATTTCCAATGGGTCTTGGAAGAGGATTAGACTGTGAACATTATTATCTTGGAAACATCCAACAGTGAGTTTACAGGTATGATAAAGTAAAAAGAATATTTCAGAAAGTAGACTGGTAAAATATAACACCTATCCTGGTAAAGCTTGTTAGTCCATGGAAATCATCCTAATACTTCCAGTTCTAGTGCGAGTTGATGTAAACAACATTCACAAAGAGTCCTTGGCGTCTTGAAGGGGAGAGACAGATACTCATCCAAATGAAAGTTCTTACAGAAGATTATTCTGAGAGGCTGTGAGTCCATGTTCCCATGTAAAACCCATCTAGACCGATAAATCAGATATCTGTAAAGTAGCTAAAACTAACTTTTGTACAGTCTTGCATATATCCATCTATATATTTTTCTGTGGTGTAAATATTATCCTATGATTGCGCCATTGCACTACAGATTACATGCTAAACTGCATTTCTTTGCATTGTTCTGACATTGTAATGACAATAAAGTTGAATCTAATCAAGTCTAACTATAAAACTAACAATTATGATTGAAGGCAATTTGTTCTCAATGGGAAAAGAAAACTGACACTCGCAAGAGATTAAACAAAAAAATGTTTATGCTGACATTATAAATGCATTAATCAGATGCTGGACTTTTATTTTATTATGATTCTCATGATTGTAATGGCCGAGCACTCGGGCACATGTCTGAGGCAGCTGCTCTCACCAGCGCTGCTCTCTCTGGGGGTCTTTTGTGTGAAAATGTCAGCACTTAACGTGACCTTTTTAGCCTTCATGCTTCACTTCTTTTATCTTGCACTAAATGAAACATCACTCAGCTGTTCGTTTGTGTTAGTGCTAGCTCAACTGCAGTGTATGGCTTTAAAGGTCTGTGGGAAACACAGTATCTCTAACAATAGTGGGATCTACCAACATCTCACATTTCAAACCTGCACAACACATAATTGCATTTCTGAACAGAAAATATATAGAAATTATTTTTTTTTTTATGAATTTTTTTTTTTTTTTAAACATGTACAATTAGAACATACAGTATATGTTATATTTGTATACATACTGTGTTCAATCATATTTGTCCATTGTTA